CTTCCCCATCCTCAGCCCCAGAGCAAACCTGCTGGCAGGGGCTCTGCTGGGCCCCACCTGCCTCTTTTCTGGCTGTGTGACCTTGAGCAGGTGACTCAACCTCTCTAGCCTCAGGCACTTCCACTGTGAAATGGACTAAGAACACCTCCCTCTAGGGTGGTCGTGGGGATTGCGTCAGTTAATGTATGAAAAGCATTTAGCACAGTGCCTGGCACATGGCTAATGTTCTGCATTGGCTATTGTTGTTCAAGATGACAAACAGGTAGGGACCTGGGGCAGGTCAGCAGGGGCAGGTGTGATGGCAAAGGGGACGAAGGGGAGAGGACTTGAGCAGCGGAAGCTAGCAGCGCTCCACCTCTGCACTTGGAAGGGAGTTGTTAGGCTGGCCGCCTGCATCGGTTCAGATCCCTTCTCCGGTGCTGTCTGGATGCTTCTCACACACTCAGGCAAGTCAGCCCGGCTGCCTGCAAAGAGCTCTGGACTGGGATTCTAAGACACAGGCTCTGCCACCAACTGCTGTGTGAGGCTGGGCAACTCACTTGCCCTCTCTGATGTAACTTCCCCATCTGCAGAGGCCTCTCACAGCCCTGAACTCTTACAGAATTAAGTTGTCCAAGCCTCACAGTGGGGCTCCTGCCTGAGCTCATGCCAGGCTCTCATGGTTGGGGACAGAGTCATGGCTGGGGACTCAGCCCCAGCACAGCCATAGCTCAGAAGCCTCGAGTACCAAGCCCAAGCCACTGAGAGATAAACTCTAGTGACAGTACTGCCCTTCACCCCCAGCCCTCTGGCAGAGGAATTTATGTTCTTTTGAAAACTATCATGCAAATGGGTTTCTTGACCAAAAAAAAAAAAAAAAAAAAAAAAAAAAAAAAAAAATATATATATGTCTCGAATGAATGAACAACTAAACAACCAGAAACAGTAATGCAAGGTACTGGGCAAAATGGAGGCTTTTGCTTCATTCAGATCAAAATCTGATCCCAACTTGACCTCTTCTAGCTGTGCGACCTTGGGCAAATCTCTTCACTTCTCTGAACTTTGCTTTTCCCATATATTAAATGAGGATGACAATTCGTATGCCATAAGATGGTTGCAAGGCATAAGTGAGACAGTCCATGCAAATAGTAGGTATCAACTCATGATGGCAGCTATTATTATCGGCATTGCTATCACCAACCTCCCACTGTGAGCCAGAGGACCTGAGGCCATCAGCCTTGTCTGGTGCCCGTTCCCAAAGAGCCTTGACTAACAGACACACAGTCACTGCCATCCTCCCACCCATACACCTTCCAGCTGGTGCGGAGCAGAGTGCGGCCGTCTGGCCTCCCCACGGCAAGGCAGGGAGTGAGCTCGCTGGGGGAGGCTCTGTCACCTTCCCTGGACCAGTCCGACAGCGTCCATGCCTCTGGCCTTTGTCGAGCAGCTGGAGCATGAGCTGCACTGTCTGCCCGCGAAATGCGACTTTTGGAAAACATGCATATTTGTGAGTTGGTGCATGTTTCTATTTTGGGCCGACACTGCTCTCTTTATTTATTTTCTCTGAGCTTTGGCGCTTTGGAACCCCGCTTGGAAGGGTGTTTTGACAGACTTTGACACCTCTCCAGGCTCCTTTGGCAGGGAACACGCTAGGGTGGGGGGAGGGTGGGGAGGGAGGAAGAAGATTTCAGATGACAAGCCCTCTTTCTTGGCTAGGACTGCTGGACAACTGAACACACCTGCCTCACCGCCCCAGCCCTTGGTTTCTCCATATTTGGGTAGGGGGAGGAGTACAAGAGGGGTTCAGGTGGGGAAACAATTTCAAAGAGGGGGAAGGGAACCACAGAGGCTAATCATTGAGCTTCCAATTATAATAATGCTAACATCATCGTCGACACCAATAGGATTGTAATTATCAACCACTGCTGCCACCACCCTCCACCTTTGTTGGGCGCCCACTTTAGTGACTGACAGTGGGCCAGCTGATTGCCCTTAGGGAAACCACCTCATCTCTCGGCATCTCATTTTGCTCTTCCATAAAGGCTATCTTTGCAGTCCACAGCTCACGGGGCGGGGAGAAGAGGCTGCTCTGCCAAATGGTGGCAATGGCTGCCTTCCCTTCCGGCCTTAGATGCTGGCCAGCAACCAACTGTCCATCGGCAGGCTACTCGGTTGGGTCTAGGGACTTGGGGCTGATTGCCAAGCCCCTACGCACCGGGCAGGACCTCTAAAGCTGCTTTCAACCAGTCCCTTCCCTGTGGCCACCAACAAACAGGCCAGAGGCTGCATCTCTGAGAGGGATCTCAACTCAGACAATTCCATTTGCCTTTGAATGACCAGGGGAGTAGAGGGAGGAGGATGGGGAGATGAGGGAAACAGGTCTATACTATCAGAGGAAAGGGCTTAAACTGTAATTCTAAGGATATGGGGATCAGGAGACCCAGATTTAGGTTTTCAGTCTTCTATTCATTCATTCACTCATTCATTCATTCACCAAACACCAGCCAGAAGAACCAGTGGTTCATGCAGAGGATATGACAGTGGAATCAATGCCTGCTACAATGCAGATTGTACTTCAGCAGTGTGACCTCAAGAAAATTACTTGACATCTCTGGTCCTATTAAGGAAATCATTTAAACATTCCTCACTTGAGGGAGAGGCTGACTTTGGTGGGTGCTCTAAGGAAAGGGAAAGGTACCATGATCTCTAGGGTTAGAGCCATGATTTTCAATCCCATCCACACTCAAGAGACTCACTAGAGAATCAACGTTCCAGATTATTAGGGCCAAAAAGTGACCCTAAATGTCACCTCAACCAGTCCTCTCCTTTCATAAATGGGAAACCTGAAGCTCAGAGAAAGGAAGAAATTTGCCAAGGGCACACCGGGAGCCTGTGGTCAGGTTGGGACCAGGATCCAGGTCTGCTCATTGCCAGCGCAGTGCTTCACGCTGGGCTCCTCCTTCTTCAACCCAGATTCTGCATTTTAAGGGCAAGAGCAGGAGAGGTGTCAGAGGGCAAGCCAGAGCACGGGTACAAGATGCTTCAAAAAGCCAAATCTCCAGGGGTTCTTGGCCCCTCGGACAGACTGGGGGGCTCTGGAACATCTGGCCCTGGAAAATTTCCTGGGCGGGGGGAAAGCTGCTGAGGCCATGGGTGGAGAAAGTCAGATTTCCAAAGAGAGACTCATGGAGGCACGGACTCTGCAGTTGAGAAGGCAAGTCTGGGAGAATGGAGTCAGCTCCCCCTAAGGGTCAGCTGTGCCTGCATCAAAGCAAAGACAGGGTCAGACCCAGGCTAAGGAAAGTTGGGGAGAGAAGTGAAGGCAGCTGAGAAGGATGACCAGAGAGACCGAAAAGGAGGGTGTGTGTGAAAGATAAACCTGGGGGTGGAACAGAGCAGGAAAACAAAGACAGTGCAGGCAAAGAATGCGGACCCTGACTGCAGAAGCTATGTCTAGAATAAGGTTAGAGGAAGGCGAATGGGCACCCAAGTGCAGAGCCGAGCAAAGTGGACCCTCAGCTTAAAACCAAGATTCTGCAAGGCACCTGCCCATGCTGGGCTTCTGCCCAGAGCTTCCACCGAGCCGTGGCCTCCTCCCTCCCTTTGGCAGATGCCTGGTTCCTGTGGGAGGTCTGCAGCGGGGGGCGGGGGGGGGGCGTTTGCTCTGTCTCCCCCATGCTTTCCCCGTAGGAGCAGGACAATGTGTGTGTGTGTGTGTGTGTGTGTGTGTGTGTTGGAGCGGGCGTGGGGGTGTGTCTGTGCTCCAGAACCTGAGTGGCTTTGTGAGTCACTGGGCACCAGTGTGAGCACCAGGTGGTGGTCTCTGGAGCCGGGGGCTTAGTCAGTATGTCCCGAGACAGCAGCCTCCAGTGCCAGCTCGGAGTGAAGATGCTGCCCAGGTCCACAGACTGGTGCTTGTGAGAAGATCTCGTTTGCCCACGTGTGCATGAATTGTGTGTGCATTGTGCGTGCTTGTGGACTGTGGGTGGGTGTGTATTTGCACAAGTGGGCTATGAATATGTGTGTGGACTGTTCTCGAGTGGTCTGCAGATATGTGTGCGTGCGCATGGATGCGTGAGTGTGCGCGGGGGTCTGTAGGCGCGCGCGGGGGTTGTGAGTCTCCAAGGCCAGCTCGAGGCGCTGTCCGCGGTGCTGACCCGGGGCGTGGACCGACGGGGACCAGCGCCCAGGGGGAAGCTAGCACCCGTGTGGAGCAGAGAGGGGCCAAGGAGAAGAAGCCCCCAAGGAGGCACCTTCCCAGCCCAGCTGTGGGCCTCCCCGAGGAGTTGGGGAAAGTTCTCCCAGCGGTGCGGTTGGCTCACGGGACTCGGCGTTCCTCACGTTGGGAATCTTTCCCGACCCTCAGCGACGCCACTGCCCGGATGCCCACCCCACTTGCACCCTCCTTTGCGTTCTCAGCGGAGCCCGGGGACCCTCTCGCGCTAGGCTTCCATCGCCTGCCGGGCCCGCCCTAGAGCCCCCATGAGCCCGACCGGACCTGCAGCAGGTTAATTGGGCCCAGGACTTGAGAAATGTCCCGCCGAGAGCAAGGGTGCGCTAAGGTAGGGGTGGATGGAGAGGGGATCATTAACCTTTCCTTGTCCCCTCCCTCCGCTCTAGCCTGGCCGAGAGCCCGATCCAGGGGTGGCTTCAGACTGACGCTCAACTTTTATGGAACCAGACATGCACCCGCGGGGACGAGCAGGGGGCCGGAGGTCGGAAGTCTAGCCGTTTTTGGACATCAAACTCACCGGACGCACGGAGGCTGCTCAGGCCCTACGGGGGGTTGGCGTGGAGCGGGGGCCGGGCCGCGGGGGTCGAGCTCTGGGCTCTGCCCGCCACCGGCCGGCCTTCCCGGGGGGCTCCGAGGCCCGCATCCCGGGCTGGCCGGACAGCGGGAGAACTTCACACGCGGCCCGGCGCAGGCTGGGGTGCAGGCAGCGCGGAGGACCGGTCCCCCTCTCCGAGCAAGGCAACCCCAGCCCCGAGAGCGGATGGCACCTCGCGGCCGTCGCACTCACCTCGGTCGGCCGAGCTAAGCCGGGCTGAGCCGCGGACTCGGGAGGGGGCGCGCCGGAGGGGCGGGGGCTGCGGCCACCACGCGGCGCAGACCTGGCCCCTCGCCGAAGTCGCAGGGGAAGCTCCTCAGAGCTGCGGGAGGCCGGAGTTCCCCGCTCCGCTCCGCTCCGCTCCGCTCCGGGGCGCAGAGAGCGCGGGCAGCTCGGTGCGGATCCCGCTCCCAGGCTGGAAACCCGGAGCACTCAGCGCCGCCGCCGCCTTTTATTCGTCGCCCGCCTTTGTTTGGGTCCCGGCTGCTACCACGGGGTGCGGGGGTGTCCAGGGCAGGTTCTGGATCCGCGCCGCCCCCCAGCCACTGGCGCCTCCGGCCCCCGCGCCGCCGGGCCCTGCCTGCCTGGCCGGCGAGGGCCCGCGCTGCGCCGCCCGCCGCCGTCTCCGGAGCCCGCCGCCCGGCGCCGCCGAGGCCGCCGCTCCCCCTGCGGGCGCCGCGCGGTGGTACAGCCGGGCTCCGGCGCTGGCGGGCGGGGGCAGCGGGCGCAGCGCCCCCTAGGGGCAAGCCCTCGCCTCTGCAAGCGGCCCCGGCCGGGCCCCCCGCCCCGCCCCCGAGCCTCCTGGATTCCTGAGTCTCCCCCGCCCCTCGCCCGCGCTCCTGCTGCTCTCCAGTGGGTCCGCCCACCCTTGGCAGGCCACCAGCCTCCTGGACGCTCGAGGGCATCCCCAGGTGCCCTCCGGAGGGAGCTGCCAAGTCCAGGCTCCTGGCGCCATCCCTCCCTTCTTCCTTCTTCATTCACCTCTCTGGCACCAGAACCCGGAGCCATGCCAGCCCCTCAGCCCCTCAGCCCCTCAGCCCCTGGGACCGGGCATCCCGCCAGCTCTAGCACACTGTCTGCCGGACATCCTTGGCCGGAGGGCCACAGGGAGAAAGGGCCCGCGGAGCCAAGGCAGTGCCCTGGCCCCTTTCCATCCATTGGGGCTCAGAGGGCGTTGGCATTGCTGTCACTCAGGGAGAGCCAAGGAGGACCCCTCAAATGAGGACCAGCTGCAGGAGCTGGGCGCGTTAGTGAGAGAAGCCAGAAAGGAGGGAGGCCATTGCCACCTAGGTATGGGGGTGAGCCGCGAGTTTGTCATGCATCAGAGTGTGCTGATGGAGGACCTGGGAAGACACAGACGAGTGAGACTCAATCCCAGCCTTCAGGAAGTTTCCAGCTTATGGGAGAGATAAGAATACAGAAGGGTTATGAAATGAAACATGACGATGAGCCCCATGACCCAACACAAGGTGCTCAACCCACATCAGTACCCAACACTACCCTTATCTTTTTAAAAGAGGAAAACTGAGTTGGGGATACCTCTAACTTCGGGGTGCCGAGTGGAGCTCCTGTTCTGTTGCTTACCTGCCACCCTGCTCTGTCTCTCTGGTGTGCAGGCCTTGGGAGCTGCACCCATGGCTGGCTGCCAACTGGACACACTGGTATGTATGACCCTGGATACCTCAAGAACTAATCTATGCAGAAGCAATGGCCCAAGCTGGTGTTCCTGCCCCCGCACTCCCTGTGTGCTCAGGATCTCAGGGGAGTCATTGCCAGGCTGGCTAAGTCTGTCAGAGGACTCCCAGTGGCTCCACTGGCCTTGAGGACATTAGGGTTGGGGGAAGCTCCTGGTGTGAAGGTTGCCACGCTCAGATGTGAGGAGGAGAGAGAGAGACAGGAGACCTCTCCCAAGCAGTGGAGGGTGTGTGTGTTGCCAAAATCTGAGGCCAAATCTGACACACGAGTGCAGAGGAACAGACCCAGCAGTGCCCTGGAAATTTCCAGTCCCATTTGCTATACCCCAGAGGGAAGGCAGAGAATGAGGAGCCCTGGGAGGGGTGGAAGGAAGGAGAACAAGGAAAAGACTTGTTTTTAAGGGAGCAATAGGGAGACACAAAGTGTGTTCCCAAGCCCAGCTGAGAGCAAAGGATTTTCTTTGCTGGGTGAATGGCTGGATTCTTTTCAGTTTGTTTTAAGGCTGCTTCCAGGAGCCTCCTCAAAGTTCTCCAAGGCCCCAGCACTGTTCCTCTCAGTCTGACACATCCACAGGGCATCCCATCGATGCACCCATGACGCTGAGCCACCCTCAGCCCACACTTGGGGGTCTGGCCCTCCCCTCCCCTGGGAAATATTTTTAGTAGATTTGATACAAGTCCCTGGTAAAATTTGCACCACTTTCAAAAAGGTCCCAGCTTCACGCTGGTCCGCACCCTCCTCAGAGCCCTCCCTGGCCTCTCGGGACCTCCAGATAATTGCCGGTGGGGTTGGACTGGCTCTGCCCTTGGCGGGGGATCTGCACAGGGAGGGTGCAGAGGCCGAGGCCAGCGGAGTGGGGGAGGAGGTGGAGAGCGTGGTACCCAGGAACACTGGAAGGATGCAATTTTCCCAGGCTATCAGTGGGGTTTTAAAAATGCAAATGGAACCAGGCCTTTGAAATATGCCTGCCATAAAGGGGAACCGGTGGTGGCAGCAGAGCTGGCGCGGGTGCGGAAAGTCATGAGAACCCTCCTCCTGGGGCTCATCCTCAGACTCCCTTCCCCTCCTCTGCCTGCTCTGCCTGCAGGAAGCCTGTTTACAGGAGCCTGGGGATGAGGGACTCAGGCATCTCTGCCCAACCTCAGGGTACCTCCCTGAAGCCTCCCTTACCTCCAGGTGTGTCATCAAGGAGATGACTCCAGGGGCCAGACGATCTGCCCGGCTGCAAGGCTGCAGAGAATGAAAGTCTGCATCCCCTCTAGCTGCCCATTCCACTGCTGTTTGGTGGAAGTTCTTCCCGGGTCTGATTTAAATGCCTCTTGGTGCCGATAAGCAGCTTCCCTTATACTCTGTCTTCACAACTAATTGAAAAGCCTTCTTTTGTAAGGGGTATGAGCTATAAAGGGCAGCTTTGTCCTCAGCTCCTATCCCTTTATTTCGCTTCCTATTTTCTCTCCAATAATGTCTGAAGCAGGGCCTCTGAGCGCAGCCTCTGATCCTACCCCTCCCAGTAGAGCTGTATTTCTCTTCCACCCCTTACCAGCTGTGTGACCGTGGGAAAGGCACTTTACCTTGCTGAGTCCCAGTCATCTTATCTATAAAATGGGGATGGCAACACATCTATCTCATTGCAGTAAAGAGTTTACTAAATGAGATCATCTCTGCAAAAATAGCATTTAGCACAATACATGGCACATATTAAGTGCTGAATAAATATTAGCACTTTCTTCTTCATATTATTACCACCCGCTGGGCAAGAGCTGACTATAACACCTCTATTTTCTCCCCCCTCTCCTGCCGGGGGAGGGAGCTGTGTGCAAATGAAGTCTTCCCACCAGATGGTCGAGCAGCTGAGGGTTGAGCATACGCAGAGGGTTGGGAATGTTTATCTTAAAAATATGATATTAAGACATTGCCCCAGCATCGGGGAATGGAATAAATACATTTGTAAGTAATTCCCTCTTCAATCTGCCAACACACTGACTTTCGAGCTCTCGACCCCCACCTCCAATCTCACCTTCTCCAGGACGCCACTGGGCAGTCAGGTGAGCCCAGGTGGCTGGAAAGAACTCTAGATTTAAGAAACTGGGTTTGATTCGTATGCGTATCTTTTACTAGTATGACCTTGGGCAAGTCACTTTATTTCTCTGAGATTCAGTTTCCTCATCTGAAATATGGGATTAATAATGACTTCTGCCAATAATATACCTGCAATTATCTTCTCTGCTGAAGTGGAACGCAGATTTTCAGGTAACAGTTTGATAACTAGTTCTATCTACAGTTAGAGAGAGACATGAGAGAACGACCATCCCTGTTCCTGTGATTTTCAGGGTTCATTGCACTTCATGTGACATAATGGATGCAAAAGAGCTCAGGAGGCCTGGCATGGTGGCTCACACCTGTAATCCTAGCACCTTGGGAGTCTGAGGTAGGAGGATACTTGAGGCCAGGAGTTCAGGGCCAGCCTGAGCAACATCACAAGAGACTGTTTCTACAAAAAATTTAAAAGTCAGACATGGTGGTGCACACACGTAGTCCCAGCTATTCAGGAGGCTGAGGCAGGAGAATCACTTGAGCCCAGGAGTTTGAGGTTGCAGTGAGCTATGATGATACCACTGCACTCCAGAATGGGCAATAGAGCGAGATCCTGTCTCAAAAAAAAAAGAGTTCAGAAACTTGCCCAAGTTCATGGTGAATAAAGTTCCAATTTGAGGTCACATAGCAAATTAGTGGAAGAGCTTGGGTTGGACCCTAGGCCTCCCAGTTCAAGCCCTGAGCTTCTCAGGTCTGAAACACTATCCTTCCTCTCCCCAGCCTCCTCCTCCCCAAAGCTCTGTTCAGGAGGTGAGTGTGAGCTTACGGGGGCAGAGGATAGAAGGTCCAATAATTCAAGAGAAGAGAGAAAAGTCTAAGGGTGACAGGGCCAGGCTGGCATAGGGGTGCTGCAGACAAGGACTGGGGGAGGCTGGACAGATGGTGGCCTCCCCTTCTGTCTCCCCCAGAATTCTGCAAGCAGCCAGGCCTAGAACTCCTTTCCCAGCCTTGCCTGCCTCCTCCAAGGAAGGAGGCAGCCTGTGCCACAGTGAATACAATCCAAGTTATTAATTGTCTGCAACAATTAGCCCCAGCTCCTGGGCCTGCAGACACCAGGGCTCTGAGAGAGGGAGCCAATTACAGCTTCATCAATATTCACATTGCTGCATAATCCTCTCCCATCAAGACAGCCCTCTCATCCTCAAGCCACGTGTCTAGGGGCTTTGCTCTGACCCCAACATCTGGAGTAGATCAAATATTGCTGAGGCCTTCAAGAGTAAATGCCAGTGCAGGGTTAGACCCAGAGGGGCACTTCTCATAGCAGGGCCAAACCACTGGTGGGAAGAGCAGGACCCTGCCAAAGATCTGGACAATGTGGCATTAGCCAAAGACTGTCTGTCCCATTGTGGGAGAAAGATTATAACCTCCAGGGTGAGGGTTTTAAGTAGATTTGCTGAGGGCTCCTATTATTAGAACTGGCTTGAAAGGAGGAGGTCAGAAATACCCAAAAAGTTCTGGTTTTAATCCCAGCTCAGCCACATACTAGCTTTCTGGCTTTGGGAAAATCACTTCATGTCTCTGAGCTCATGTC